TGTAATTAAGTGTTCTGGAATTCCTATTCTTCTAATTTGTTATCCATAATTTGTTATGATCCACACAGTTGAATGCCTTTGCTTAGTCAATAAAACACAGTTAAACATCTTTGTGGTATTCTCTGCTTTCAGTCAGGATCCATCTCACATCAGCAGTGATAGCCCTCGTTCCACATCCTCTTCTGAATCCAGCTTGAATTTCTGGCAGTTCCCTGTTGATACACTGCTGCAATCATTTATAAACAGAATTGTTTCCCCTAGTTCCATTCCCCAGAAGGAACTTAGGCAATCCCTTATAACTGACTTCCATTGGTCTGGGAAACGTCTGGTAAGAGTTCTGATTATAAATGGTTATAAAGACATAGAGATAAAAAATTTGATGGAGAAGGAAGTAGTAAAAACTGTTACCACAAAACGCAGGTCTGAGCCACCTGCCGCAAAAGCCAATACTGAGACAGGGGTGAAGTGAGCAGCAAGAAAGTTTTATTGTATATCAATATACAGGAGACAGAGGGGAATGAGCTCCTCCAAAATCTGCCTCCCCCTCTGGAGGCTGATCAGAGGATTTTATTGGGACAGGGTCAGTGTCCGAAGAATGTTAGTTCATTCCCCTTTGAGGTGGGCACAATGACCTCATTCCAGACATGTTGACCTTCTGTGGGTATTCTTGAAGATCCTTTGTTCAGTTGTCTCGCCTTCAGATTTTATCACTTGTTGTTCTAACTTAGGTTAAATTTAAACTTTTTATAAAATCATGGGAAAACAGGAGAGAAGATAGAAGGAAAATAAATCAGAATCATAGGCGCATGCAGAAGTTAACAATGCAAGCTATGCATTAGCAGTACCATAATACCTAGGACGCTAGGCCTACACAGCTGACAATAAATGTGAAATTCCCACGCAGCCCCTTTCAAAACGAAACATGAAAAATGAGCTTGAAGGTAAGCCCACTAAACAGGGATAAGAAGTGTCCATAGCCAAAACTGAATATCCATCTGCAAAAAAATGAAACAGGACCCATACCTCACACCGTATACAAAAACTACTTCAAAATGGATCAAAGATCTGACTATAAAGCCTAAAACTATAAAGTTCATAGAAGAAAAAATAGGACCAACACTTCAGGCCTTAATACATGGCATTAACAGGATACAAACCATAACCATCAAC